CTATGACTGACACTGGGGTCTGGCTCCTTTAATTACAAAATCCTGAAAGGAAGATTAGGTCAGGCCAAAATCACAGCATTCCACACGATGAACGTAGAGGGCGCATTTTCAAATAATCTAAGAAATTATCGTGTAAGTCTCTAAAGAGACACAAAAGTACAGAGGTGATACACAGAGACCCAATTTCTACTATGCCAGCTTCTCAGGTCCAAAATACAACCTTAAAGGATGTAAGACCATCAGGAGCAGAAACCAGCTCCAGTTCCCTTTTGCAGCCCCTGAGCCCAGTGTAATGCCTGGCACGGAACAGACACTGAATGAATATGTGATGGAATGATAGACGGATGGATGGGAGGATGGATGGATGAACAGATGAATGGATGGATGGATGGATGGATGGATGGATGGATGGATGGATTATGGATGGGTGGATGGATGGATGGATGAGTAGATTATGGATGGGTGGATAGATGGATGGATGGATGGATAGATGGGTGGTTGGTAAGATGGACAGATGGACAGATGGATGGATGGTTGGGTGGGTGGATGGATGATGGATGGACTGGTAGGTAGATGGATAATGGATGGATGGATGGATGGATGGGTAGATAGAAGGATAGATGGATGGATGGATGGATGGATGGATGGATGGATGGATGCATAGGTGGATGGATGGATGGATGGATGGATGGGTGGATGGATAGGTGGATGGATGGGTGGATGGATGGGAGGATGAGTAGATTATGGGTGGGTGGATAGATGGATGGATGGACAGATGGGTGGTTGGTAAGATGGACAGATGGACGGATGGATGGGTGGGTGGGTGGATGGATGATGGATGGCCTGGTAGGTAGATGGATGATGGATGGATGGATGGATGGATGGACAAAGAAATGAGTGAACTAACAAATGAAATGAATCCTCAGAGAAGGAAAAGTCACCCCAGGCTTCCAGAAATGGGAGGGAGGGAAGTTCTGGCTCTGGGCGCCCTCAACCAAGAGATCCCCTTCTGTCAAAGAGGCATGTTCAGTAATTTGGGAGTTCTTTTCCTCTCAGGAATGGAATCTACTCCACAGGAATTCTTCCTGACATCTTCACAACACCCCAGGGAAGGAAGGCTCCTCAGACCACATCACATCGGGTCACCTGGCTGGTCACCCAGGAGCCAGACCCTGGAAGTACAGCTGACCCTTGAACAATATGGGGGCTGGGGTACTGACACCCTGCCCTCCGCGTGACTCCCCCAAAACTATACTATTAATAGCCTACCATTGACTGGAAGCCTTACTGATGACATGACAAGTTAACACATTATTTTGTATGCCATGAGTAGTATATACTGTATTGTTACCACGAAGTAAGCCAGAGAAACGGAAGGAGTTTTTAAAATCATAAGGATGGGGCATCTGGGGGGCTCAGTCAGTCAAGCATCTGACTCTTGATTTCAGCTCAGGTCATGATCTCGTGGTTTGTAAGTTCGAGCCACGTATCCGGCTCTGGGCTGATGGGGCGGAGTCTGCTTGGGATTCCCTCTCTCCT